TCTCTCAAAAATAGTGTCTCAATATTAAAGAGGAGGGTTTTTTTAAAATGTTTTCTGTTTCTTATATGACATAGTAAAGTCTATTGTTGGATCCTGATCAGAGGTGGGCTTCAAAAATTTTAGCAAGGGGTTCTCTGTCCGGTTGCTTGGTGAGCGTGGCCATGGTGGGCGTGGCCTAGTCAGCCTCCTGTACCATGGTGGGGGGGGGGCGTTTTTTCTTCAGAGGCTTTCCTCGAGTCTCCGGGAGGGCGAAAATGGACTCTCCAGGCTATGTAGGCCCTCCGGAGGCCTTCCCGAACTTCTGGTAGGCCCATTTTTTGCCCTCCCCGAGCCTCTGCACCTTGAACTTACCTGCATCCAAAACGGACTATGTGGTGACTCCTGAGAGGGGCAGGTGGGGTGGGCAGGGCCAGCCAGGAGTGGGATTTGGGGGTTCTCCAAACTGCAGAATCTTAGCTAGAGGCTGTCCTGAAGCCCTGCGAACCCCTAGCAGCTCACCAAGATCCTGATGCACAGCAACTAGCCCTGAATAGAAATGCCAGATTTCTAACCAATATTTCGAATCCCAAAGACTAATCTTGAATAGATACATTTAAAATACAGTATTTTGTAATCTCCTTTCGCCCCTTAAAAATGGGTAGTTCTGGTACAATCTGTGTTTCTAGCAGCTTTCCATGGATGTTAAGACAGGGTCTTATTTTCAGAGAAACACAGTATTATTTCATTATAGGAACATATTTGTGCACATTTGTCCATGTGCATGTACAGTAGCAATGACTGACCACTATTTTAGTCAGCTCTTGACTTAAAAAAAAAATTCTAGCATTGAGAGTTTACAGCTTGACTTTTTTGTTGTTGGGTTTCAATTTTGTAAAACTACTAATACACATACGGCTCATATATGCACCTTGAATTACACTTACTGCAGAAAATGCATTTATCTTTTTTCAACAGAGTAAATGACAACAATCAGAAGAATTTTGAAAATGGCTAATTATATGGAAAATCTCAGATTGCTGCCACTGCAAATGTCTAATTTATACAAGCTTCTTTTTTAATCTGAATATATGTTCGATACATATATACCACTCTGCTAACTCTCAAAGTGAAATTATGTTACAAACATAAAATAATAATAATAAAATGCTAAATCGATGAGTTAGATTGAAAGCCCCAATTTATCTCAATTACACCTATTTTAACACCAGCATAACATGATAAGGTTTTGAGGAGGAGTGGTGTGGTGGCCTGGAGATGGAGCTCTTGCCTCACAATCAAGAGACTGTGAGTTCAATCCTAGGTAGAGGCAGATATTTCTCTCTGGGCACAAATTTATCTGCTGAATAAAATTCCACATTGGTGACAGGAAGGGCATCTGGCCAGTAAACACTCTACTCCATTCAGTTGTCCAGACTTTACCCCACAAGGGATTGTGGGATCATAAAAAAGAGATTATAACATGATAAGCTTTTGCCTTAACAAGGCAAATTTCATCTAGCTATCAGATGTTTAGACAAAATTAGATTATGCAATCTCTATTGGACTGAATGGAAGTTACACAGCAGGCATATTTGGTGAATTGCACTATTCGCTTTTAGACTGCTCTGGTAAACCTTTATATAGCTCAAAATAAGGAAATCTTAAGATTTTAAAATGCCAATTTCCAAGATAAATCTCTACCAGCATTTATTTGCAAAGAATTAAAAAACTTCTCCAGTCTTTCAAATGCTTATCTAAAAATATTTTAATGTGTTCACTATTTTTCGTGATGTGTATCACAGAATAATGCAGGAAGAAGAAAAGGAACTGGATTCATTTTTTTTTTAGTCAAGCTGTTGATTGGCTCATTGTATAAGACGACTTTTGATTGGTCTGGTTCCTGACTGGCCTGCCTCTAAACCAGATTACTGCTAGGTATTCTTTCTGATGAGATTGCTGCAGATTCCATGTTGTTGGTTAATTAAGTGCTCTTTAGCCTTGCTGTGCACCCATATTTTATTTAGTTTCAAAATGTCCTCCTTCTAGTTGAAGTTATTAGAATGTTATTTATGGCTCTTGACAGCCTCTCTATTTGGCTATGGTCATTTGATAAAGTTGCCAGAACTTGTATGTTTTCATATTGGACATTAAGTCCAGTATGAAGCTACACATGTTCCACTATTGCTGATGATAACTTTTCCTAGATGGCGATGTCTTTTATGTTCTTTTAATCAATAAGGTAAAGCTAAAGGTTCCCCTCGCATATATGTGCTAGTCATTCTCAACTCTAGGGGGCGGTGCTCATCTCTGTTTCAAAGCCAAAAGCCAGCGCTGTCCGAAGATGTCTCTGTGGTCATGTGGCTGGCATGACTAAACACCGAAGATGCATGGAACACTGTTACCTTCCCACCAAAGGTGGTCCCTATTTTTCTATTTGCCTTTTTTACGTGCTTTCGAACTGCTAGGTTGGCAGAAGCTGGGACAAGTAATGGGAGCTCACCCCGTTACACGGCACTAGGGAGTCGAACTGCTGAACTGCTGACCTTCTATTCCAAGCTAAGCATCTTAGCCACTGAGCCACCACGTCCCTTATTTTTAATCAACATTTTTATTTTATTTTTAATCAATATTAATTTGTATATTGTGATTCCAGAACTGCAGGGAAGTGGTGTACCACTGGACTATGAAAGTGGAATTTTGCCAGCTTTGGATAGAAGCTTTGGATAGAGCCTGACTCAAGGACAAACTAATTGTTTGCCTTGGAATTCCTTCAAAAGAAATCAATCATAATTTTTCGTAGACAAAGGAGTCTATCAACAACCAGCTTTTTTGGATTCCAGATAAATAGATCAATCAGGGATCAGCTTGCCAAATTTATTTTCTATGTACAGGTGGTCCTTGACTTACAATCACATTGGAAGCAGAAGTTAAGTGAGTTCTGACTGATTTTATGACATGGTTGTTAAGCAGATCACTGCAGTTCTTAAGTGAATCATGTGGATGTTAAATGAATCCAGTTTCCCCCATGGACTTTGCTTGTTTGGAAGCTTCCTGGGAAAGTTACAAATGATGATCTGATGACCCTGGGATGCTACAAGTGTGGTAAATGCATGCTGGTTGCCAAATGCCCAAATTTTGATTATGTGATGGTGGAAATGCTACAACAGTCATAAGTATGAGGATCAGTTGTAAGTCACTTTTTTCAGTGCCACTGTAACTTCAAACGATCATTAAACAAAGATTACGTGTACACCCCCAATATCTTTACTGAATATTTATTACCACTACTATTAGGTACTCTGATACATTTTGAATATCATTCTCCATGACTATTTTTTTTAAAATTTGATTTATATGCCGCCCTTCTCCGGAGACTCAGGGCGGCTTACAATGCGTTAAGCAATAGCCTTCATACTTTTGTATATTTATACGAAGTCAGCTTATTGCCCCCACAAACTGGGTCTTCATTTTACCTACCTTAGAAAGGATGGAAGGCTGAGTCAACCTTGAGCCTGGTGAGATTCGAACTTACCAGTAATTGCAGACAGCTGGTGTTAATCACAATGCTTTTAGTCTGCTGAGCCACCAGGCCCACCAGGCCCACTATTTAGCTTTGCTCTGGAGAAGGGAACACAAGAGCCAAGCATACAAGAAAATACAAGAAAAGAGATCCAAGAAAAATTGCCTAGGTTGCAACCTCATGACTTTGAATAGGAAAAAGAAAGAAAACTGAATGTCTATGGAGATTCTCAGTCATCCAGGTCATGGTTGTCCCAAAGGTGCTTTTTCAAGAGGCAACTGGACTTTCTTTTTTTTCTTTGAAGACATTTCACTTCTCATCCAAGAATCTTCTTCAGCTCTGATTGGATGGTGGGGAATGGAAGGATTTATATTCCTTGCAGACAGTAGTGCAAATGAGTGTGGAGCCTTCTTGAAACTGCTAAAAGGACTGTGTTGTAGACTGGAGATAGATGATGCCATATCTCTTCCCCTCTGTTGAGAGAGGGCTGTTCTATTTTGACATAGATAGCCGCTTTGACCCTGACACAAACTGAGCAACATGGTATATGCAGTACAATGCAATAGCCATGTGTAGATCTGTACATCGGGGAAACAAAACAACCACTTCATAAATGCATGGGATAATATTGGAGAACAAACCCATCTGGACAAGATTCAGCATCTCATCTGCATTTAAAAGACAAAAGCCACTCTTTTGAAGACAGCAAAGTCCACATTTTGGACAGAGAGGACCACTGGTTTAAAAGAGGGATCAAAAAGGCCATCCATGTCAAAACTGAACAGACCTTTCTCAACTAAGGGGGAGGGATACAACATCATCTATCTCTAGTCTACAACACAGACCTTTCGAGAGTTCCAAGAAGGCTTCACACCCATTTGCACTACTCTGGTGACCCTGATGACAGAGATAAAGGTGTCCAGATGGCCTCAACAATTCTTTAAAACAATGCAAATGACCAGTTGTCTACAAGTAGTATAAATCCTTCCATTTCCCACCATCCAGTCAGAGCTAAGGAAGCTTCTTGGATGAGAAATGAAACATCTTCAAAGAAAAAACAGAAAGTCCAGTTGCCTCTCCTCTTGAAAAAGCACCTTTGAGTTGCAATCAATTAGAACATCAGAACTGCAAACATGTGTTCATGCACTCAGACAAAACATTATAGTTACACTGACAAAATATCTGGGTTTTTCAAATGTTCTGACATTTCTTGAATCAAGGCTAGCCTTCAAGTCAAGTTAAAAGCCATGTGCCTGTTCCAAAGGAAATAAGACCAAGATAAAAAGAATATTCCAACTGACTTAATTTACAGCTAAACATATTTAATTTGTATTTAATTTGCATTTAATACCTTTGAAATTACTCAAATTTAATTATGTTTAAAGAAATTAAAGGCAGCCAATATGATTATCTTTTATGTCTCTCACATTAAACGCTAAGAATTTTAGCATAGTTTTAAAAAGAATGTGAACAGGGTTCTAATTACACTGAAAATCTATACCTGCAACTGCAGATTTCATTTCCATCTTCACATGTTTGAGAGGCAATACAGAAAAGCAGGGCAAAAGAACGGGACAACAGAGAATGAGGTGCCTGGATGGAGTCACTGAAGCAGTCGGCGTGAGCTTAAATGGACTCCAGAGGAGGGTAGATGACAGGAAGGCCTGGACTGGAGGAATGTTGTCCATGGGGTCGTGATGGGTCGGACACGACTTTACAACTAACAACAAACAACAGAAAAGCAGTGATGTCTTCCAGGGAAGCACCTCAGAATTTAGATTTGTTCTCCTCAACTTACATACTACTGATACTTCTCGACATACAACAGCCTTGGTGGTGCAGCGGACTAAAGTGCTGTTAAGTAGCACTTAGCTGCCAGCTGCCTGCAATTACTGCGAGTTCAAATCTCACCAGGCTCAAGGTTGAGCCTTACGAGATAGGTAAAATGAGGATCTGGATTGTGGGGGCAATAAGCTGATTTTGTATAAAAAAGAACACTGCTTAGGGGGGCCCGGAAGCCCTACTAAGCAGCTATATACAAAAGTATGAACACTATTGCTTAACACATTGTAAGCCGCCTTGAGTCTCCGGAGAAGACTCCAGAGAAGGGCGGCATATAAATCAAACCAATAAATAAATAAATAAATAAACAAACAAACAAACAAACAAACAAATAAATAAATAAATAAATAAATAAATAATAATAAAGTTACTGAAGAAAATGATTAATGACAGTTTTTCATGCTTATGATGGTTGCAGCACTGTTCACATGAACAAAATTCAAGTGCTTGGCAACTGACTCATGACGGTTACAGTGTCCCCAGGTCATGGCATCACCTTTTGCAACCTTTTGACAAGCAAAGTCAATGGGAAAACAGATTCACTTAACAACGTTACTAACTTAACAATTGCAGTGATTCATTTAAACAGTTGTGGCAAGAAAGGTCACAAAATGGGGCAAAATTCACTTAAGCATTGTCTCTTTTAGCAACTGAAATTTTGGGTTCGATTGTGGTTATAAGTCGAGGACTACCTACCTGTATATATAGCATTTACTTTTCTATGTTAATCGCAATAGCATTTAGACTTATATACTGCTTCACAGTGCTTTACAGCTCTCTCTCTAAGCAGTGTACAGAGTCAGCATATTGCCCCCAACAATCTGGGTCCTCATTTTACCCACCTTGGAAGGATGGAAGGCTGAGTCAACCTTGAGTAGATGAGATTTGATCCGCCAAATTGCACGCAGCTGGCAGTCAGCAGAAGTAGACTGCAGTACTGCATTCTAACCATTGCGCCACTACAGCTGTTAATATTACAAACTTTGGAACCACCTTCCATTTGCTTCATCTGTCCACCCATCTTTAAAGTAGCCAAACCAAGATTATCAACTCACAATTTTGCCCTTGATTGTATGCACTTCTCAAAACACACGTTCCAGAAGGTGCTGCCTCGGTGTTTTTCTCCGGGTCTCCTTTCTTGAACAGAATTGCCAATACAGAGCATGTAAATAAAGAGGAAGGCCAGAGCAGCAGTACCCCCTTCCTTTCTGACTTGGGGAAATCTGCTTTCACCACTGAGACACGGTCCCCTGGGTTCACAGCAGGGAAGGTCTCCTTGCTGGGAACAGAGCGAAGATTACAAAAGCTCTCTCTTATTTATTCTCCAGCCTACACATTCACTCGCTCAGCTAGAGCCACCACCTCCCTTGTAAAGGCACAGCAATTAAAACAGCTTTGTGACATTTAGTGAGGGGTGGGGGGCACAGTTCTCGTGTAATATATCAGAGGAGAAGGGTGGGTGACAGTTAAAAAGCCAGAATGCTTTATTTCCACACACCCACTCCCAAGACGTTCAGTCATTCAGTGGGGTTTAAGCCTTTTAAGCCAGTGCTTGCTGTAAATGAAGGAACTCTGACCACAGGAGTAACACACAGCTGCTGTGTGGCATTCTGAGATGCCAGAAAACATTTAGGTTTCTCAGCTGGCTTGAGTTCGTCAGAGAACACGAATACTTCAGAAATGCTGCACTATTTGTTTCTGGGGAGGAAATAAAAAAAGAAGAAGATAATTTTTCTAGGATATAATTTCCCAATTGTTAGAAAAGATATGACACAGCCATTTCCTGAGTCATTCCATCCTGCCCTTGCATTATACTAGCAGCAGCAGCTTTTCTTTCCTATCAGTCATAGTTTGCTGCGTTTGTCGTCTATCAAGATCCTAAGATAGCACTTTCAGGTTTTCAGTTGCTATTGGCTAAATCAGTGGTTCTCAATCTTTTCTTCACCACGGCCATGGACCACCCCCACCCTCACCCCCGGAAGATTTAACTCAAGATTTAATTCATAACATTTCCTCAAGCCTTCGCAGATCCCATGTCGACATCGCATATCCCTCTCCACCTACGGTCTGTGGACCACAGGTTGAGAACCACTGGGCTAAATAATAGTGGCTTGGTTTTTGTATAATAAGATATGCAAATCCACACTGTATTATAAGAGTATTATGCATGAGCAGATCATTAAAGGTTTGTTTTTTAACAATTATAACTTTAGGAAAAAAATGCTGTAGTTTTCGGAGTATAAGACGTACTTCCCCCCCACCTAAAAGTGGGTGGAAATGTTGGTGCATCTTATACACCAAATACAGTCTCCCAAAATCCCACCCCGCATGTCCCATTTTCACCAAAAATGGGGCACACAAAGGGTTTGGGAGGCCTACAGAGTGCTCCTGGGGGCTGGGGAGGGCAAAAATGTGATGTGAGGGAGGGGGTTTGGGAGGCCAAAAACGGGCCCATTTTTTGCAAAAATGGGCCACACAGAGTGTTTGGGAGGCCTGCTCCTGGGGGCCAGGGAGGACAAAAACTATTTTTTTTCTTGTTTTCCTCTTTGAAATCTTATACTCCAGTGTGTCTTATAGTCCGAAAAATATGGTAGCTGAGCATCAGGTATGAAAATAGCCACCATTATGTTAGATTCTCTCTTTCAATAGGTCTGTGGTAGATTCCATTTCCACAGTGCCAATAAGGAAGAATGTGACTGATTTATTTGCTCCAAATAAGTATGATACTACTACAATTAATCTAAGGACATTGCAAAGGGTATTAAAACTTAAATGGCAATTTTCAGTCCCTGTGAGAACTCAAGGGTCAAGAGGAAAAAAAACACACATTCTCCCGTGTCGGAGTATTTCAGCTTTATCTGGGAGAGGGAACTATTTGCAGATTTGATGCAATCTTAAGGAGCAGCCATGCAGAAAAAGGATCTGCAAACAAGAAGAGAGTATTAGAATATTGCTCTTGAAATACAGAATTTTGAAAAGGTCAGATCAGCAATATATATGCCAAATAAATATTGCCATGAAAATACATAGCCATATCCTCCATTTATGGATCACCACTGTAGATGAAGGTCAGGATATAAACCCTTACTCAAATCCCTGGTTCCACCAACTATCTGTTCAGCTCGCTGTCCGATTCCCCCACCCTCCCAAAATTCACAATGCTAACTTGACATACAAGAAATTACTGACACAAGGATGGTCTGTGCAATCTGCTTCAACCTTCACCAAGCAATAGCACGGAAAGAAGCACTTTTAATTTTGCTTCCAGTATGCAATAAACTGGCAAATTTATTGCTACTGTGAAATGGTTACCTTTGCTTTTTCTCCACAACCCCTTTTCCTACTAGAACTTAAAAAAAAAAACCTACATGTTGTCCTTGACTTACAAGTTTGTTTAGTAACTGTTCAAACTTACAACAGCACTGAAAAAAGTGACTTAGGACCAGTGGTGGGATTCAATTTTTTTAACAACCGGTTCTGTGGGCGTGGCTTAGTTGGGGGTGTTGCTTGGTGGTCATGTGACCGGGTGGGCGTGGCTAGCTGGTCATGTGACCGGGTGGGCGTGGCTATGTGCATAGGGACTACTCAGAGGGCTGAAAAAAGTCATTTCTGACTGGTCCTCGCACTTATGACCATCCTCACATTTATGCCCGTTGCAGCATTCTTAACAACTGTGTCAGTCATTTCACCACTACTTGTCTTCACCACAGTGACAAGATAGGGCGCAAAACGTAAAATGTGAGGACAGTCATAAGTTCGAGGACTGGTCAAAAGTGCAAGGACCAGTCAAAAATAACTTTTTCAGCCCTCTGAGTAGTCCATATGCACAAAAGGATATAGCAATAGAGAGGAATGAAGGAAGGAGAAGAGAGATGGAAGAAAGAAGGAGAGAGAGGGAAGGAAGGGAAGGGAAATTAGAGTAGGAGGGTAAGAGAGGGAGGAAGAGAGGAGGAGAAGGAGAAAGGAAGAGGAAGTAGGGAGGAGAATAAGCGGGGGGAGAAAGAAAGTAAGAAGGAAAGAAAAGAGAGAGGTGGTAGGTTTGAGGAGAAAGATTGCTGTACAGTAAAAAAGATGAAATGGAAGAAAGCCAACCCCAAACAAATATAAAGATATTAAGATAAAGAATGAATTGTTAAACTTTAAAGAATAAAAGAGAACAAATATGAATAAATAGCAATAATTAGAAACACACATACAAACATACAATTTATTTTCTTTGAACAGAGTATTTGGCCGGTTCACAAATTTAAACAGTGTTTAGTCATTTCAATTAAATTTACAATTTCTATATTTCCTTTTTGCCATATTTATTCCTCATCTATTTTTTTTAAAAAAACCAATATTACCCTTCATCCTCATCTCTAATCTTAATCAAATTCAATTTTTCCCTTCTATTCTATATTATACCCCTTCCCATTGTCATCTATTTTTATATCCATCCTCACATTGGTTAATTATGTAATATTACAGTTGTTTAATATAAATTCAACATTTTAATATAAATCAATTAGTTATATAACTATCTTTTTTGTATATTAATCAATATGAACATGAATATTCCAATTATTTCCATGCAATCCAATTTCTTACAAATCAATTAATTATATTTACCAATAATAATAAACCAAATAATTTCCCCCATATATTTCTCCAAACCACCATTTAACCATTTCTGCTTTCAACATAATATACAATTAATAGTATCTCAATTATTACAATTCCCTAGTTAAATAGAGCTTTTTTTCTTTTGTGTTTTAAAATCTTGAACTCTCCTTTTTCCCTAAATTTCCCATTGTTTGTACCTACCTTTTTTGGTGAGGAAAAAGAAATCTGCCTGCCTAATTTTCCAACGTTGGAGCAACAGCAAAGCCAACAGCCTGCTTTACTTTCAGTTTCGTTTTTCAGCATAGCTAGGGGAAAAAAAATTGCTGCAGCACTCTTTGAAAGCTAGCAGCAGAGCCCTGAGCAAAACAGCTGAGAGCAAATCAGCTGTCAGTCGGGAGGCCGATCTAATCAACAGGCTAATTAGCCTATGCTGAAGCTCCGCGGGCCAATAAAATTACAAAAAAACACCGGACCGTTTGTTAAATTGCTGGCTCGCCCACCCCTATTTATTGGCAATAAATAGTGGTGTGGAGGGACGAGGCAAGGGGCGGAGCGAGCCAGCAATTTAACAAACGGTTCGGCCAAACCGCCTAGAACCAGCAGAATCCCACCACTGCTTAGGACCATTTTTCACACTTATGACCGTTGCAGCATCCCAAAGATCATGTGATCAAAATTCAGACACTTGGCAACTGACTCGTATTTATGACGGTTGCATTATCCCGGGGCCATGTGATAACTTTTGTGACCTTCTGATGGGCAAAGTCAATGAGCAAGCCACTTAACAATAAACAACTGTGTTACTAACTTAACAACTGCAGTGATTCACCTAAAAACTGTGTCAAGAAAGATTGTAAAACTCACTTTAGAACTGTCTGACTTAGCAACAGAAATGTTGGGTTCAACTGTGGTCATAAGTCGAGGACTACCTGTATTTTTCTCCGCAATCAAGGTTGAATGTTCACTGAAAAATGTGCTTCTGGATAGTTGAAAAGAGGAGATTCCAGCTTTTGCCAATGAGTGGATGGTACAGCTTAACTAATTAAGGCATGAAGCCACAACTTGCAATCTAAATATTAGAAAACTTATAGTCAACCGTCTGACTAGTGAACCCAAGAAAAGTAAGCACTTTCAGGAACGTTGTCATCCCAAAAGCAAAACTTTATTGGATAAACCATTTTGGTACCGAAAAATCAAAACCATCTCTGGTTTTTCCTGTGCAATGGTTGTATAGTTAAACAGTAGCATTTCCTTCTCCCCACCCCTGGTTGGTCACATTGTCCAATTATGAATTGTCCTTTTGTTTTGAGAACAGTTCACTTCGGACACCTTCAACCATAGCCTTGGTGGAGTTTTGGCTCTCACTGTCTGTTTCTGGAGCGTCTGCATTCTTTCTCACCCTTCCCTCCCCCCCCAGTTCTTTGGCAAGTTGAATAGTGATAAGACCCAAAGTTTTAAAAGCAGTTCAACCTTGACAACATAGTTCTTTTTGTTTAGATGTAGCTTTCAGTAAAATAAATTTAAATTTAGTCATTTTATGACAAGAAAAAGCTGCAGTAGAG